CGGATGAGAAGCGTCAGCAGCAGGTATTCAGCAGTGTCTAATGCATTCTCTTCTCTTCCAAGGGGAAGTTGATTAGCTGGTTTTGTAAATCTTCTGGAAAATTACCTTTAAAATGCTCTTACTCTTCAAAGCGATGCTCAGATTGGTGCTGGGGATCACACATGTGCTGCTCTCCACTCTTTTTCCCCCTGGATTTGCTTGCTAATGTGCAAGGTGATGGGTTTTTGCCCTGTGCCTGGGCAGTGGAGTGGGTTCAACTGGTGGCCCCAGTGCTGGTAAAGATCCCATCCTGCTGTAGCTGGGTTGGGGGTGCTTATGGGGGTTTTGCCCTCCATCAGCTGCACTGCGGCTGTGATGCTTTGCACAGAACCTGCTGCTGTGGTCAGTACTCTCCTTCTGATATGATTCAGAACCCCAGACTGGTTTGGGTTGAAGGGACCTCAAAGCTCCTCCAGCTCCAACCCCTGCCACAGACAGGGACACCTTCCACTGGAGCAGCTTGCTCCAAGCCCCCGTGTCCAGCCTGGCCTTGTAGTTTAACCCTAGCCCGGTAGTCCCAGTTTGTTGGCTTGCAGGCACCCACATGGACCATTGTTGGGCTTTACCCTTGGAGCTGAGCCGGCTGGGAGCAGCCATGGTGGCTGATCTGGTCCCTGCTGCTCATGGTGTGTCATTTCCACATGGTCACAAACAAGCTCCATGCAGTCCTCTGGCACCTCTTACTTTGAATTAATGGGGAAGCATTAAAGCAGGCTGATAGTGCTACTCCATTAGTGTCATCCCTGTGCTCCTCTCAAATCAATGTTCCCACTAAAGCGGAGCCATTCCATGGCCTGCAGCTCCCGAGGGCATCAGGAACCAGCTGCTTCCCCATCGGGCATAGGGACACGAGGATTGTTGGCCACCAGTGGGCCAGGGAGCTGCTGGATCCCCGAGGAGCTCTGCTGACCTGTGGGCATGGGCTTTCCCTGCGCCTGGAATAAAGAACTGGAGCGGTTGGCAGGAGGCAAAACGTTCCCCTCGTGGCCTGGGTCGCACTTGCAAGGGGGAGGCTGCTGAAATTGGCTAATTAGTGGTTTGTTAATGAGCTGGGGCAGGGAAATGGTGCTTCGGCTGTTACAGTATTGGTGTTTGCAGCTCAGGGCTTTGGGAGGGTTTTGCTTGTGTCCCCTCGCGGGGGGTTATCGGTGACTGGCAGATTCTCTTAAAAGCAAGCAAACCCTCAATCCCCACTGCCTAAACCCTCGCTGCCGTTTGGTTGATGTATTCCCCTTTCTGTGGCCTGATGTTTCAGACTGCGGCAGGTTCTGGGACTGTGTGTGTGACATGAAATAAGAGACTCTTGCACTGAGTATACTTTAGATAAGGACTCGTGACTCTTTAGGATTCCACTGATAGCGTGCGGAGCCCGAGGAGAGGAGCCAGTGGTGCCATTCTGTGGATTTGCTTTGAAGTTCACGTTCATGCTTGTGTGGCAGGAGGCAACCACATTCTGCTGTTTAGTAGTAGCTGAGTTTACTGAGTAAACTGCTGCTTAGTAGTAACTCAGTCCTGGTTTTGGCTGGGATAGAGTTAATGCCCTCATAGCTGGTGCAGTGCTGTGTTTGGCTTTAGCCTGGGAAAAGCACTGGTAACACATTGATGCTGTAGTTGTTGCTCAGTAGCACTTACCCTGATCAAGGGCTTCTTGTTTTCCCATGCTCTGCTGGTGACGAAGGGCAGGAAGCACAGCCAGGACTAGCCAAAGGGATATTCCATACCATGGAATGTCATGCTCAGTCTAGAAACTGGGGGAAGCTGGCAGCGAGGTACCGATTGCTGCTCGAGCCAGGCTGGGTGTCAGTCAGCGGGTGCTGAGCAATTGTACTGTGTATTATTTGTTTTTGGGGGGAGTTTATTCCTTTTTTTTGTTATTTCCCTTTTCATCATCATCATTATTATTTATTATTATATTTTAATTTATTTCAGTCATTGCATTATTATTACCTGAACCCTGGGTTTTATCTCTTTCCAATTCTCCCATCGCATGGAGGGGCAGGTGGAGCAAATGGCTGCGTGGTACTTAGCTGTCAGCTGGGATTAAACCACAGCAGCATCACACCTTTTCCTTCCCAAGCTCTGAGGCTTGTGTCATCCTTCCCTGTCTGCCCCACAGGGCCATTTTGGTGGACTTTGTTAAACTTCGAGCTTGCTTTAAAATAGGAGGAGACTGGGAAACTGGGTTCATGTCTTGCAGCAGGGACTCAGAAAGGGGGGAAAGACTGAAACAGGGTTTCTGAGCTGCTGTCCTTGGACCACTTGTGGGCCAGCAGACTTTGGCAGATGGTTTGTGAAATCTTTCTCTCCCCTCCCAGAGCACACGCCACGCCGGCCCTGCAAATGAGCTGCAATCTGTTACTGCTGCCTGTTCTCACTTTAGTTAAAGTTCACATCGCAGCCGGGTTGTTGTTTGACTAAAATGTGACAATCGCTTTCACCATGACTTTGCAAGATGGGCTGCAGGGTTGGGTTTTGTTCCTGAAAACATTCCTTGGTCCTTCAGTAGATAAATAAGTGAAAAGTTGGATGCTCTGCTCAAACTTTCCACCTTCAGATTTCATCTGCTGACCCATGCCAGCCTGTTTGTGGTTTCATCCCTTGCAGGAGCCTGTGGTACCCAGAGGCCATGCAGGGCTGTGAGGATGCGGCTGAGCTGCATCACTCCTTGCTGGACCTGGGAGCAGAGGGGCTGTGATTCCTTCTGGAGACAAGGCAGCTTTGCTGTTGGAAGCACGCTCTCGGGGGTGCCATTGTCCCCACTGTTGCTCCGGCCCTCCCCGTTCAGTGCATCTCAGCATCCTTGATCCTGGACTGGCTCTTCTCTTGGGGTTCAATAGGCTTCATCGGCTGAAAGGCAGGCTTTGGGAAAGGGAGGGGGGGCTTTTCACAGAGCTGGGGAGAACCAAAGGGAGTCATCACAAATGGCAGCTTGAACTATCTGACCTTTTCCCACCTCTCCTCTGCTTTCCGTGCCCATGCAGAGCGTGGCTGCAGCGATGCCGCTCTTGTGGCACTGCTGCTTCTGTGCTCATCGTCCTGTAGCTCCGTGTACCTTGTGTCTCCCCAGGGTGGCTTCATGGCAGGTCTCATGTGTGATCTCTCCTTGGGCATCTTTGAGTGGGAAGGTCCACAGACCCCTGTGCATCCTCACAGTCTCCTGCTGATCTGCCCACTACAGGGATGGTGGCACCGGCCAGCCCAGAGCATGGAATGTGCAGCCCCATTCTGCAACAGTGGAGTCTTGGGTATCCCAAATGCCCTTGTCCAGATCTCCTGCTGCCCTGTAATTTCCTCCTAGTCCTGACTGATTGCATCAGGGCACTACCTGGGAATGAGGGATGATAGGAAAACCCAAAAGGCAAAGAAAACAGCCCAAAATGTAGCATTTTTCTCATGCCCTTCTCCTGTTTTCAAGCCTGCCGCCTGATTCAGGGAAGGCAGTAGGGCTGATACATTCTTCTGCAAGACTTGGTTTGGCAAGGTGGAGAGGAAACACAGCCAAGGGAGGGCAGTGGAGACAAAAAGAGGTAAGATGCTACAGAAACTGCTCCCAGGGCAGCTGCAGGAGCTGCTTTGGCAGAGGGAGCTGCGGGGGCAGAAAGGACCGGTGGCAGCATCTCTTCCTACCACACCGTGGACCAGAAGTGGCAGCGCCCAGCTCCCAGGAGGTTTCTGTTTTACTCTTTGGTGTACAGCAGCCTGAGCAAACAAACTGGGCTGCTCTCGATAATGAAAGAGGTGCCATTACTAATTCATTTGCCCACTCAAATGCAGGATGTGATAGAACAGAATTAATCTCTGCTCTTTACACATCAGATGCTTGGAGCTTTGGTCAGCAAGTGTGCTTTTAGCCTCTGGTATGCAGCTACCTGGAGTTTAGCTAGCTGTCTTGGTTCAGTGTGGTGTGAAGATAAATGAGGTGCTGCAAGGAACAGGTATTTTATGGGTACGTGGTTGCCCCGAGCCTGGACATGGGTATGGGATGAGGCTCAAGGAAAGAGGGGTTGCTGTTAGCTGCGGTGTCTGTGGTCCTGGCAGTCAGAACCCAGCACGCTGAGCCCTGCAGAACAGCACAGGGGTCCTAAAGGTGAGTCTCTGAGTGTTAGCAGTGCCTCAGGGGGGGCGACACGACACAATTGGAAGGAAACTGCTGCAAATCCACGTGCAGCAGGGACTGCAGTGGCAACCATGGTGCTGCTGGCTGAGTCTCAGGACAGTGCCATGCGGGAGAGCTGTAATGAGGTGGTTTGGATCGCTTCCCTCACCACTGCCTCACTATCACCATCATCTCTATGCTAATGAGCTAATTTGTGTCATTAGCACAGCCCTGTTAATCAAGACCTCCCGCGCTATGACTCGGCTGTAGCCACGCTGTTTGCTGTATTTTAGGCCCTGATGGTTTTTCATTGGTGATGATGTGTATGATGCTTGTCCCCGGGCACCTGGGAGCCCACTCAAGATGCACAACCGGGGTCTAAGGATTTACCTTCAGTGTTACCTAAAAGCCTGGCTGAAGAGGTGGAGCACAGTCTTGAGATGCTGCGGCTTTCAGCCAGGGAGGATCAGGGAATACCTCGAGCTCTCACCTGCCAGCATGGGTTTAATCTGACACAGGGAGGTTTGCTGGTCATGCCTGCAACCCAGCAGCCTACATTTTAATCCTACCTGGGTTCAGAATCATCTCACATGTAGTAATGTACTGTGGGGTTTGATGGCCACAGAGGCACTTTGACGCCCAGAAATCTTGCCTGAAGTTACCTGCCTTCCCTCCCACATGGTATGTGTACAAGAGTGGCATTCTGTCCTTAGGGCAGCAGTTTTGCCTTCAGATGCTTGTGAGAGATGGGGATGGTGGGACAGCAGAGCAGCTCATTGCAGGCACCAGCGCCCAGCTCAGCCGTGTTCCCGCAGTGTTCCCGGTCCCATCCCTCCCTCATGCTGCTGTGTCTTGTGTGTTCCAGCTCAGCCGGCTGTGCGGCCACGCTCAGCAGAGGCAGTACCGAGCAGCCCGTTACCCCGGGGACCTGTTCGTCGACAGCAAAGCCCTGAAGGCGACTCGCATCGAGCAAGAGGAAACTTTGGCGAGCAGGAGGAGGTGAGCGCTGGGGCTGCGCACGGTGCCTGCATGGGCTGCAGGAGCGGTCACCGTGCAGCATGGCCCTGGGGAACCAGATGGAAGAGCTCCTTATTTCCCTTACCTATAACCCTGCAGCTGCTTTGGGCTCTGACCGCCAGCGCTGCTCTGCGGCTGGCTCTGAAGTGCAGCGAGGTGTCCCCGTGTGGTTTCTCACCCAGTGTGTCTGGTTTGGTTTTAGCCTGTAAAAGTGCCTCCTGCATTTCTGCACCCAGGTTCACCCAGCAAATGCCTCCTCTGGGTTTCTGGGGTGCCTCAGTGGATGCTCTTCGGTGTTGTTATAGGTGGAAATGGTCACTCGAGGCTGAAATGCTTTGTGCAACACTGTGTGTAAGCAAGGAGGACTCATTTTGCTTCCTTGTGCAGCCTGATATAGTAGTTTAGGAATGTTAACAGCCTTTTCCTGATTGTTTCCCGAGTGAAGCAGATGCCTCCACTGCTGGCACTGCACCCTGTACTCCTGCCCTCTGTAAACAGAAGCTGTAGTTCAATGAGCTCACATTGGCGTGCCAGGGAAAAGCATCCCCCCCCCCCGGATCTGGAAGCACACCCAGAAGTGTGCGGTGCCTTTCCGGCTGGTTGAGTACAAGGAAAATCCCTGGGGAAGAGAACCAGGCTTGGCAAGTTTTGGAGCTGGGGATAGACTGAGTTGGATGGATTTCTCTTGAAAGAGTAACAGGGCCACATTCTTGCTGCACTTCCCACAAGATACAGCACCGGGGCCTGCATTCCTCTGTTGTCTCAACACGTTGGAGGGTTACACAGCCCAGGCTCTGCCAGAGATGTCCTTTGAGACTGGGAAGTCCAATGAAACCTGCTGCAATGAATTCTGTGAGCTCAGACTTGCAGGTACAGAGGAATTTCCCCCTTTCCTTCCCCTCCCTGCCCGGTGGGGAGCTCTGCTCCCAGGGAAGTTCTCCCCAGCACTGCCGGGGTCTGTGGGACAGGGAGCAAGGCAGTGCCTAGGATGTAAAGAGCTGGGTGTGATGGGCAGTGTAAGACTTGTCCTGTTCGGGGTTTGGCATAACTGAAGACCCAGGTCTTGCCTCAGTTTGGCTTTCAAAGCAGTGTTGGCTGGACCGCCGTAAGCCCAGCGCAGGAGATGCTGCGGGGGGTGGTTTGTGCAGGAGGGGAATGTCTGAAGCACCCCTCCGCTCCACGCAGGGGGGTTGTGGGCTGAACTCCCACCCCCTGGACGTGCTCCGGCTCATCCCGCAGGCTGCTCTTAGCGGAGAGGCAGAGCAGAGCAGCACCGGCTGCCTTTGCGGCGCTGCTTCTCCTTGTTTCGCCTGCCACCAGCTGGCAGCCGGGGGCCTCGGCTGCATGGAGGGGGAACCCCGCGGCATTCCCAAGCAAAGAGAGGCAAAGAGGGATGGAGGGAGCTGGGTGCCTCCTCTTGGTCCCAGCCTGCCCTAGCTTGCTCTGTCTGACAGCAGCTTCCCACAGCCGGCAGCGCATGGAGTCCCACCGCTGTGGGCACCCAGGAGATGCCCGTGACAGTGATGCCAGCAAGAGGTGTTGCTCCCTCATCATCATCCCCAGAGAGGAAGGAGGCCAAGAAACAAGCACTTGCCAAAGGGGAAAATGTGCTGAGCCCAAGCCAGGAGGCCGTGAGGCCAAGTCTTACTCCCTCCAATCACTGCTGTTCATGTGATCATCTTTTTCTGCCATTTACCTAGTTAAATCTGCCAGTATTTCCCAGTGACAGCTACTGAGTGCCCCTGAGGGGACGGACCTGGGCTGTTGGACGGACACATCCCACCCCTGTAGCCCCTGTCCCCTTCCTGGTGGCTGTGGGAGTCCCTGGGGTCAGCCTGTGTCCTGGCATCTCTGCACTGAAGGGGACCTGCAGGGGATGGAGGTCCTTTGACAGTGCAGCATGAAACCCAGCGTGACCCATCTGTACAGATCTGTGCTGAGCATCTCTGCTCTGCCACCAGAAATGCCACCTGCCCTTGCAGGGATGTTGAAGGGCTGATGTCAGGCGGGCAGAGTGACAAGGCTGTCCCTTCCTGAAGGGCCTCCATTGCTTCCTACAAAGCAGAGAGGACTGCTGGCAGCCTGGGCACTTGCTCCTCACATGTACTCCATGGGCTGAGCCAGCAGCACCTTTCCCTAGGTGCAGTGAGAGCACAGAGGGTGTATATGGCTCTGGTGTGCTGCACGGTTGGGCTGAGGTTCTGCTGCCTCCCGTCTCAGCCAGTTTTGCCTTAAGAAACAGGGATGAATGAATGACATCAGGGGACAATGCCAAATGCTGCTTGAGATCAGAAATAAGACCAGTGCTTCATGGCTTGTTTGCACCCACTGCTTTCACGCTGTGTTTGTGTGACTACCCCCAGTGCTTAAAAGGCACCACAGAAGAGGCTTTTCTCTTTTCCTTTTAGCTGAACACCATTTTTTCCCCCCTTTCTTCCAGGGAGCTCATCACGAAGCTGAAGTCCCATGGCAGTTTCTACAGCAGTTTGCCAGAGTACATCTGCAGCCACAGCTCTGCTGTGCAGAACGACACTCTTTGCTGGAACGGACAAGAAGTCGTGGAGAGGTGAATCCCCTCTCCCTTCCCCTGCATTGCTTGTCTTATACTAACCAGGCAGTGACCAGGGCACTGCTCCTTCCCGTAAAAACCCCGTTGCAGAGCTGGTATCCACCAGTGGTGCAGCGCAGATGGATGTGCAGGCTGCATGGAGAAGTGGTTGTGTGCTGCCCTCCACTGAGCTTTCTCCACTCTGCTCTGGAAACCCTGCAGCAGTGGCTGGCTTCGATTGGGATGGGTTGGTAGCAGGGAGCCAGAGAGAGGAGAGCAGCAGGAGGGTGCTTCGTGGTGTGAGGGGTAGCGATGGGGTCATTACCGCTATGCTGCATTGGGATGGGGATGTCTCCAACCTGGCTCTGTGCAGGAGCATCCCCTGGGAGTGACAGTGAAGACCACTTGTTGGGGTTTTGACAAGGAAAACCACCTTATTGGGTTTTTCCTTGGCCGTAGCTCTGTGCTAGAGGTCAGGACCACTGAGGCAAACAGCATTCATAGCATAAGGAGGAAGGAAGTGTCAATAGAAATGAAGGTTTTTCTTGCAAAAAAATCTCCTTTGGGGATGTTAAAGAATGTGGAAATAGAACTTAGGAATGTTGTTTTTAGAGTAATAAATAAATCTGCTCTAATCACCCTCATTTTTGCAGAGCATCTTTTGCTATTAAGCAGTTTGCAGAAGGGAAGGAATAGCAATAGGATCAGGAAGTGGTGCAATGTTAAGCTATTAATTATGCCTAATTGCTCAGTACCCTCAGGTGGTAATTAGCCTGTACGTGCAGTGCTGACCCAGAACACCAAAGGGACTAGAAGAGCATCAAGCTATAGTTTGAAACAAAATTGCACAAGCATCTAAGATCACACAGTTGATACAATTCACTCACTTTGCCTCAGGAAAACTGTGTCCTCTAGCTGTACTCCTACCTGGGAAATCTGGAGTTCCTATTCCCAAGAGAGAAGTTGGAAAAGAACAAGATTATTTCAATATTGGCTCACTGATCGTTAATTACAACTTCTTAAGCAGTGCTATGAGCACTGCAGGGGAGGATGTAGGATGAGGTCTTTGGTTAGGACAGTTCACTGGGGCCATGACCGGTGTCTGGTCCAGGTCCTGCTGATGCCACGACTGGGTGAAGTGGCAGCAGTGGAAAGGTGCTGAGTCCTGACCTTCCTACAAACATAAGTTTGGAGTGACTTGCAGGTTAACCATAGCTTTAGATGATGCATACCTGCAGCTTTCTGCTGAGAATGCTAGTGGACAGTCCACAGTCCTAAGCCTAACAGGCTAAGATGTCACCGAGGTCCCTGCTGCAGTACAGTGGTGTTGGTGACACAGTGCAGCAGGTCACGTAGGTGCGACAGTGCATGGAGAGGAGAGGCAGGGAGACGATGGAGTGTGTGTGCATGAAGGGAGCACCAAGATTTCAGGCCCTTTAAACTGAGGATTAAGTTGAGGGCTGGAGCAGCTCTGCTCTGGAGCCAGACTGAGAGAGCTGGGCTGGGTCAACCCATACTGGACCTTAGAGCAGCTCCAGTGCCTAAAGGGGCTCCAGGAAACCTGGAGAAGGGCTTTGGACAAGGGCCTGTAGGGACAGGCCAGGGGGAATGGCTTTAACCTGCCCAAGGGGAGACTGAGATGAGCTCTTAGGCAGAAGCTCTTCCCTGTGAGGGTGCTGAGGCGCTGGCACAGGGTGCCCAGAGAAGCTGTGGCTGCCCCATCCCTGGCAGTGTTCAAGGGCAGGTTGGACACAGGGGCTTTGGAGCTCCTCTCCCAGAACCCAATTGCAGAACATCTCAAACAGAAGCAAACATGCAGTTAAACTGGTCTCTAGAGCCCTTGCACTGCTTCACGTGGAGCCAAACCTGCCTGCTTCACATAGTCAGACTTCCAAGTGTGGCGGCTCCTTCTGAGAGTCTGGGAGTATTCCTGGAAACCAGGATCATGTAAGGTAACGGTAACCACCAGCTTCTTGAAGTCAGTGTTTTCCCCAAGAGGGAGCCAAGCAGCTGCTCGCTGTGGAGGAGCCCTGTCACAATCACAAGCTGCTCTGAGAATGTGCATCGTGCGGGAGCGTTTCTGGCATGCCTATAGCGATTCTGATGTGCACTTGGTGGTCACAGAGCTCCATCGTGCCGCTTCCTGCAAGGAGCCCGCTGGGTTTTGAATATCTGGCTTCGATTTCAGACGTGGTCGTTGTTGCACACGTGTCGCAGAGGGAAGGGCCTGCTTTTCTAGGTTTTGTGCTTGTGGAATACGCTTTGCATCTCAGTGTTTCCCCCTTTGCTTCGTTGGGTATTGGCTTTTGCACATCGGAGCTTCCTGACTGAAAGGCTGGACTGGAGGAAACACCCGTGCCTTGCACTTGACCTGCCCTGCATGGTTGCTGTGGCTGGATACGTTTCGCTTCAGGACAGGATTGAGTTGCCTCAGCTGCACCATGTGCACTCTGAGACCCCTTTGAGTTCCTGGGGTATCCATCGGCAGATCTAAGACCACCCATGTCCCTGTGGGGTGGCAGCTGGGGCTAGAGGGAGACATCTTATGGTTCCTGTAGCAATAGGAGGTGCCCACCCTAGGGATAGATTAGGAAGCTGCTGGAAGCCTTGCAGCATCAGGTGGAGACCAGGGGAGAGCAATGGTTGGGTGGATGCTGTGTTTCCACGTGTTTCCATGTCTGGTGCTGCTCAGATGATGGGTATAACTGCTTGGGCATTGCTGTGCCAGTGAGCTCGGTGTGAGCATCCATATGGGCATGTCTGGGCTTTGGTGGTGCTCCTGGAGGGTTTGTCTGTTCACCTCTCACATCTTTAATGCTGTACCTGAGCGTTAATTAAGTTAGAGAGGAGCCCTCCTGGTTTAGCTGTGTCCTGACCCCTCTATCACAACAAACTTCGATAGTTATTCCAAGCCCTTTTCCTGTAACATGTTAAATCAAGCCTGGAATAGCAACTTCACAGCCCTTTGCCAGTGCGCTCAAGTGCAAGATAACGCTGACAGTGTGCATCCTGCTGTCTGACATGAGCAGTCCCTTCTGCACCCTGTGCTCCTCCTCTTGTGGTTCCTCTCAATCGGTGTTTACTGTCCTGTGTATTCCAGGGCTTTCTTATCAGCCTTTCACTGGGTCTCATTTCCCAGTTTGAGCCTTGACCCATCCTTCATTTCCTCCCCATCCTGACCTCCCTCTGCCCTGATGGAACATATTCATCTGGGACTCCAGTGCGATGCAGCTGGCTGGTTGGACCATCTAATGGCAAGAGTTCATCCTCCTTGAGGTTTGCTCTGGGGGTTAATAGTTTGATCACCATCCCTCTGTGGGTTTAGGACAGGGTGCCTCGAAATAACCGCTTGCAAACAGTGGCAACTGGACGAGGAAGGTCTGTTTTCCTCGTCATGCAGAGCAGTGCCTGTGTGTTTTGCTGTGTTGTTGAGGAACATAAGCCAAAGTGGGAAGAAAAAACAAAAGGCAACGCATTCCTGCTTTTCACACTTTTCAGAGGGTGCGAAAACACACTGTGCTCTTGTGGGATGCCGCAAAGGTTCATAGCAAAAGCCACACACTGCACATTCCACCACCAGTGAAGAGCTGCTTCTACGAGCGCTAGGAGGGGTCACAGGGCTTTGGGTGTTTGTGGTAGCTGGGGACCAGACCTGCTGGCTCTCCCTCTGTGCATCCCTGAGCACGTCTGTGCAGCTTTCCTGGGCTTAATCAGTTGACAGGCACTTCTCTGAGATAGCAGAGGGCTGGATGTGTGGGATGTGCAACAGCTTGAGGGAGGTTCAACCTGCCCAAGAGAGGGTTCTTCTTACCTCTGTCCTTATGCCCCGTCCTCCCACCTGCCTTCATGCTGGTGGTGCTGGATGCTGAGATGATGTTCTCCAGCATCTCTTATCCTTGCACAGAGAAAAAAACAGAGGGTGATTCTTATCACTGAAGTTCTGACTGAGAATTAGCTCATTTAAAGAGTACAGCTTAAGTCAAGCTTGTATTGAGATACCGAACTCTGTTTCTATGGGAGTTAGGCATCTGAATCTCAAAGGTGATTTGAGCCTTATATACAATATCAGGGTTTTGCAGCATTTAATACTAAGAGCCTCTTAAAATCTAGATTCTCAGACTTTAATAATCTGCTTACATGAGAATATTCCTTTCAAGCTGTTCTGAACAGAACGACAGCAAAACTTGTAAGCACATTAAGCTTTACTTTAGACACTGCCACTTCCAAATTGCTCAAGACAACCTTGTGCATCACTCTAAATCACCAGCACAACTCTTGTTTGCTTTACACCGGGTCCAAATCAATATTGTTTTAGCAGCTTGCCACGTTCTCCTCTTTGAGTTTGAAGCATCAGGTTTCCCTGCTGTTGCCATTGTACCGGGGTGTGTTTTAATCATGCAACTCATAAGCAATGAAAGCACAATTGGAAGCAAGGGAGAAAAATGCGGTTCTGTAATTGGAACAAAGGCAGTTCCATGCCAGCGATAACCCTTTAGCTCATGAAGGGTTTGGTTATTTCTGGCAGTGCTGTGAAACAGCTGATACAACGGTGTCCCCAAAGGGGCTGTGTAACTTCCCAAGCACATAAACCACAGCTCTGTAGCAAACGTAAGCTAGAATGAAAGGATAGTGGCGAATTCAGTGGGTTATGGGATGGCCAGAATTGTTTCCAGAGTATTTCAGAAAGGGAGATCACGATTCTTCCTGTATTAACCCTGCTTTTGGTCTCAGGTTTGGACAATTTTCCCATAATCTGTTTGTCTTGAGCTTTACTCACCTGAAGCTGAATGGAGGCAGACTTCAGGCTGTCCTTTTATCCTGTGAGCTCCCATTGTTTTGCTATGAAGATGCCAGTTTCTGCTGTTCCTTCTTCAAGGCCCATCTCCCAGAACTAGGTGGTTACCTGAGATTTCACCTCCATACCCAAGCCAACATCTGCAGGATGCTCTGTAGCTGCATTGCATAGGGTGGCTGGGAAGAGGCAGCCCTTCCCTTCGGCAGGGAACCGATGCAGCAGG